AAAAACCAGAATTGAGCCCAGCCAATCCCAGCATTGAGCCCAGCCAATACCAGCATGGAGGCCAGCCAATACGAGCATGGAGGCCAGCCAATACCAGCATGGAGGTCAGCCAATACAAGCTTTGAGGCCAGCCAATACCAGCAATGAGGCCAGCCAATACCAGCATTGAGGCCAGCCAATACCAGCATTGAGGCCACCCAATACCAGCATTGAGGCCACCCAATACAAGCATTGAGCCCAGCCAATACAAGCATTGAGCCCAGCCAATACCAGCAGTGAGGCCAGCCAATACCAGCATTGAGGCCAGTCAATACCAGCAATGAGGCCAGCCAATACCAGTATTGAGCTCAGCCAATAATGACACTAAGGCCAACCAGTAAGGACACTAATAACAGCCAATGCCAATGAGGTCTGGCAATAAAGACAATGAGGTCAGCCACAGATGATACTAAAGTCAGGCAATAAAGACACTGATGCAGGCCAATAAAGACACTGATGCGGACCAATAAAGACACTGAGGCCAGGCAATAAAGACGCTGTGGCCAGCCAATAAGGACACTGAGTGCAGCCAAAATGGACACTGACCATCCAAGACATTTTTAAAGATAGCTGAAGGCACATGCAGGTATCTCCAGCTTCCTGAATGTCATATCTGCTGTCACTTTGTTATCACTACATTTCATCACAGATAGACTTGACTTTGAAGCCCAAACTCCAGTTAGAACTTTTTAACTAAATAGCCCTGGCACCTGAAAATAAAAAATGCTTTCCCAGATTATTTATTTTCTTTTAATGCAACAGTTTGACCGGTGGGACAACCAGCATCTTTGAACCCACTTCCTGTGAGTCAAGTGCCTCCTGGCACTGCCTGGGGATGCATTATCACATTGGCCTGGGATCACAGTACAATACTGCAGAGAAAAGTACTGATTTGCCAACAACAGTGCGCCCTTTAAACCATTTAGAAGATGACCAGGCAGATCATGAAGGTGGTGTTGGTGGTGATGGGGAGTGGAGTGGGTTGTGATGGGGAGTGGAGTGGATTGTGGTGATGGGGAGTGGGTGGTGGTGATGTGGAGTGGGTGGTGGTGATGGGGAGTGGAGTGGGTGGTGGTGATGTGGAGTGGGTGGTGGTGATGTGGAGTGGGTGGTGGTGATGTGGAGTGGGTGGTGGTGATGGGGAGGGGAGTGGAGTGGGTGGTGGTGATGGGGAGTGGAGTGGGTGGTGGTGGTGAGTGGAGTGGGTGGTGGTTATGGTGAGTGGGTGGTGGTGTTGGGGATGGGGAGAGGGTGGTGGTGATAGGGAGTTGAATGCGTGGTGGGAGTGGAGTAAGTAGTGGTGGGGAGTTCCAACCCCAACCTGAAATTGGGCTTTGAGATACATGGCATAAAGCTAAAATACAACCAGATAGTAAGAAGCCTAACAGATGGCAGGCCCAGGCAGTACTCACACTAAGTACGTTCTCAATGTTGACCAGCCAGCCATCGAATCGATAGAATTGAGCCAACAGGACCATCTGATCTGCCACAGCTTTATATGTAGATTCTTCACCAGTCAGGATAGACTCGCAGACCGTAGCCCCATCGTCCCACTCTGTGATGAAGGTTCCTGGATGAAGATCAGAGAAGAAACTCAACATGACAGCAAAGATCTCCAACTGGTGGAATGGTGAAAGTAAAATAACATAGCAGGCGCAAAAGTGATGTTCTGGTAAGACCCCACCCAAAGTCCACCCCTAAAACTAAGAGCAGCCATTAAACGAGCTCTAGCTTACCCGTTTGTAAATCTAATGTATATCATTCCCACATATATTTTATTTATCTTTTAATGCCATAAAAAAAATATACAATTTTTTTTTTTAGTTCACTGTGACATATTGCCTTTTATGTTTCATTATAACATTTCTAGTGAATGGGAGGAGCTCTGTTTTGTTAAAAAATCCCGTTGTCCACCACGCACAACTGTTAAAGCAGAAATTTACACACAGAAATGAATGAAACAGAGGGGTGACCCCCTTACGCGCCTCTTCTGTTAATATTGGCCGTGTGGAAATGTAATCAGAGAGAGACAGTCTGAAATCAAACAGTTTCCGTAGTATTCTCTTGCTTTAGAAAATCCATAGTTATTATTAATATGGTTATCAGTCTGATTCAGAGGCACAGTAACATTGAGATAGATGGCAAGAATTATAATGGTACACAAGGCATGACAAAGAATGACCTCACCTAGAATGGGGACTCCATGCTTGTGGGCAGCGTTCGTCCAGCACACAGGAGGAAGGGTGAACATTCGGTGACTGAAGTATACAAACGTATCAATGTACTGCCAGTGGTAGAACACATAAGGGTCCTTAGTGTCAGATCCCTGGATGAACCTGCAGGACAACATATAAATAACTATAAGCTATTCTTCAGGACAATCATTCAGACCAATATTTTCGCCATTTACTTTTGAATAGCATAAGAAAGATATAATATCTTTATTAGATTTCTCTTTGTGACCCTTGTGGATAGATGTTCCCTTACTTCCTGTCCCTGTGACACCAAGGTAAGATATGGAGGGAGTGGGTGTCACCAGGACAAGAAGGCCTACTTTCTCTATAAAAAAAGAGATATAAAAAAAAAAAAAAGTTTTGCCGCTTCCGCACTCTACATGAAGTATAGTATACAGCAGGGGTAGCCAAACACTGGTCCTCCAGCTGTGGTGAAACTACTAATCCCATGATGCATCTCTCTCCAGGACTCATGTCTGTGGCTGTGAGAATGTTGCAATGCCTCATGGGATTTGTAGTTCCACCACAGCTGGAGGACCAGTGTTTGGCTCCGCCTAGTATACAGTATACTCCAGTGCACTAAATATATCTAAAGGCAGACATTTTTGGCTTTAGCGCTGAACCACGGGCACAAAAACATTCATTGCAATGTATTCTTAATAGACACAAAGGATATAAATCTACTTTGTGTGCACCAAATTCCTTTGCATCCCAAAGATTATATTTTAAAAGTAGCACTGACATCATCACTGTGCTTGCTGTACATAGCCTGTGCTGAGCTGTGGGAAGGACCCAACAGCTCCACCCACTACAGGCTGCCTTTGTTCTATCAAAGTTTGTGACTACGTTAGAATGTGCGACCAGGTGACGTGGTCACAGATTTTAACTTAATCCCGCCCATTTTTTCGGCGGTGGAATATGTGACCGGCAAAAGGTGAAGAATTCCAACGCTTTCTCAGCTGTTCCAGGGCAGATCAGCATCGCAGATCGCATGTGCAGGAGAACCAATCTGCCCTGAAACAGCTGATCGGTCATGAAATGTCCCTTCTATCCGACTTTGTGAGTGCGGTCTTACATTTCACAAAGTCAGGTAGAAGTGACATTTCAGGACCGATCAGCCGTTATAGGGCAGATCGGTTCTCCTGCACATACCATCTGCGATGCCGATCTGCCCTGGAACAGCTGACAAAGCGTTGGAATTCTTCACTTTTTGCCGGTCACATATTCCACCGCCGAAAAAATGGGTGTGATCACGTTAAAGTGTGTGACCACGTTACCGGTCACACATTCCAACCCAGTCACAATTTTTGATAGAACACCTGCAGAAAACTACAGGAGGGGGTGGAGACCAGACCAGTCACCCTGCACAAAGAGAGAGAACAGCAGTGACTGGTCTTTATTACAGGAAGCTTCACGTCTCACACTGGAAGAAATACACAAAGCTCACCAAGATTGGAGAATACACATGACTCTTGTATGAGGACAATATTTGCTTATCCCGGAGTTCAGCTTTAAGACAACAGCTTATTAGTGACCAGATCTCAGCAATATTATCTACATGCAGCACTGCACCTTCAATCCAGGGGAAGGACACCTTTGTGTAGTTCCTTTGAGTAATGAATGGTTTAAACCCAAGGGAGCATGAAAAGGGGAGGAGGGGAACTAAGTGACCCGTTCACTTTGCCCTTCATTGGTGAAGCAAAGGGTTACTTTAGGAAAAAGGATTTTTCTGCTTTAGGATATCCTCCATACCTGTCTTCCAGATATCCCCCCTTCATGTCATGGCAGATCAGAGTCCGGGGCCTCTGATGCTCAATAGGTGGATGTCTTTTGGCAAGAGGAGATACAGCGACATTGTACTTGTCCTGGTTGGTTGGCCTCCATGAGAGCAGTTCCTCCAGGTTGGAGAAGAAGAAGCTGATTGGTTCAGTGGTCCCCCTATCATGGTGTCTTGCTAAATGAATAACAAAGATAAATCACATTAGAGTAGACCTGTATCAGTCCTACTAAACCTTTATTATTCAGGGTCATCAAAGGTTCTTCTATCCCTATTAGTATTTCTTAGAGCAGGGGTGCAATTCATTTCCTAGAGGGAACACATGAGAAACTGGGACTGTTTTGGAGGGCTGAACCATTTGAATGACACCCCAAAAGCACCTCCCGGCCGGAATGCTTTCAACCTCAATGCAACACACCTGCTGTACTGTAACAGACGGTAGATGCATTGTGCCGTACCATGCGTTGATCACGCAAAACCATGCTATTATCGCACGCCGTAGGTGTGATTCTTTTTTCTCAACAGGCCAGAGGCGGGAGCCAGGGGGTGAAGCCGCAGGAGAGGATGGAGGAACTCTCCTGTCCTCCTGTAATGCTGGGGTTGAGAACACATTTGACATTGCTGGTTGTTAGGACAACCCAGTGGTCCTAGAAACCAATGACTTCAGAAGAGGAGGACCCCTGATGTCACTGGTTGCTAGGATGCCAGCGGTCCTAACAACCAATGACAGAAGAGGACCCTGGTCTGGATACGGACCAATTGCCGACCAGTGCTGGGCTATGGCTTGCAATGGATGTGCCGGCCTTAGAGGCCAACGCATTCACTGTCAGCCAGCCATAACCAAGTGCAAGTCAGCGATCGGTCCGTGTGTAGACCACGGGCCAGACAGGGACAGACAAAGGGCCGGGTACTGCCCGCGAGGCAAAACATGCCAAGGTCTGTCTTAGAGCAGGGATAGACAACCTCGACACTCCAGCTGTGCTGAAACTACAAAAGCCACCATGCCTCTGCCTGTGGGAGTCGTGCCTAAAGCTGACAGAGTGTTGCAGTGCTTCATGGGATTTGTAGTACCACAATAGCTGGAGTTGGATTACCTACACTTGGCTTAGAGGCACCCAATACCACCATATCAGAACTGGCCGTCAGTCCGCAACTGCCCTGAGGACAGTTCAGTTTTACAGCTATGCATGAAAAGGTGTTTTTTTAGCAGGGTCCCCTAGAAATGAGGTAAGGGGCCCCCTAGAAGCTCACGGTGTGTAATGAAATCAGAGTAAACTATCAGTCCAAGAGAGGAGCCGGTGTTCTATCAAAGTGGGTGACTGCGTTAGAATGTGTGACCGTTGACGTGGTCACCCATTTTAACATAATCCCGCCCAGTTTTTCGGCAGTGGAATGTGTGACCATTGACGTGGTCACACATTTAACGTGATCCCGCCCATATTTTCCGGGGTTAAAATATGTGACCGGAAAAAGGTGAAGAATGCCAACGCTTTCTCAGCTGTTCCAGGGCAGATTGGTATCGCAGATGGTATGTGCAGGAGAACCGATCTGCCCTGGAACTGCTGATCGGTCCTGAAATGCCACTTCTATCCGACTTTGTGAGTGCGATCTCACATTTCACAAAGTCGGATAGAAGTGGCATTTCAGGACCGATCAGCTGTTCCAGGGCAGATCGGTTCTCCTGCACATACCATCTGCGATGCCGATCTGCCCTGGAACAGCTGACAAAGCGTTGGAATTCTTCACCTTTTGCAGGTCACATATTTTAACCCCGGAAAATATGGCGTGATTACGTTAAAGTGTGTGCCCACGTGACCCGTCACACATTCCAACCCAGTCACAATCTTTGATAGAACATCGGTACAGCTGTGAAAGACTGAAGGGAAGGCCGGAGTTCAGCTTGAACAGGATACAATGTTACTTTGTCATCAATGGATACTTTTAATTACTTTTTTAACTTTGTTATTAAAATTTACCGGACAAGGGAGCCGATTCATATCTGATGATCTCTTTATACACTTTCATCTTCGGAATCTAAGAGAGAGCACACATAATAAAATAATGAACTTGACTAAAACCAAACATCAAACAGAATGTTCCATCCTACGTAATAACAACAAAGTACAAAATATTAAAAATGGTTAGAATTTACTTCCCCAAAGCTGAACCAGAACCGATTGCTCATGGAGGGTTAGAACGGGCACTGTGCGGTTTTAGGTCTCGCTCACATCTGTGCATAGCGGCTATGTGCATGAAGACGCGCCACTTTGAGCACATTGCCGCAGCGCACTAAACGCATGTCACTTTGTAAGATGAGCTGCAGCACCAAAATATTGTTCAGGCTCATGCACATCCATATGGCCCCTGCACCCTTTTTTTTTTGCTGACATGTGTTTTGAAAGTGCATGGTGCAGCAAGGTGCATCGGGGTGTCATTAAGGGTTCATTCATGTGGGCTAAACATCCATACGGCGTGCATGCCCGTACAGAGACCAGATCCTGGGAGGGACTGGCGCTGCCTGTAATTGCATGCAGCCAACTTTACCTCCCTATGGGAGGATGCGGCTGCATGCGATAACATGCAGACCCAAATCTGCACATGTATGCAGGTCCAGGTCCCATGTATGCATGCAAGTGTGAACATTAAACACAGGGCTTCACATGGGCGTGCACATCCATATGGCATGCGTGCCCATGCAGAGACCTGTTTCTGGGACCCGTGCAGATGTGCAGGTTTGGGTCTGTGTGTAACAGTGCGTAGCAGCGTCCTCCCATAGGGATGTACAGTCTGCTTGCCCATGCAGAAACATGTTCCTGGGATCCGCACAGATGTGCAAGTATGGGCCTGTGTGTAACCGTGTGCAGCAGCGTCCTCCCGTAGGGATGTACAGGATTTTGCACACAATTGCACGCAGCACCTCTCCCTCCCGGGAGCAGGTCTCTGCACGGGCACGCACACTGTATGGAACTGCACGCCAATGTGAATGAGCCCTTCATGGCACTTCAATGCAGCCGCATCCTCCCATAGGAAGGTACAGTCAGCTGCACACAATTGCCCGCAGCACCTGTCCCTCCCAGGAGCAGGTCTCTGCACAGGCGTGCATGCTGTACGGATAAGCGTGCCTGTGTCTAAATGAGCCCTTAAGGGCACCCCAAGGGACCTTGCGGCACCATGCACTTTAAAAACACATGGCAACAACAACAAAAAAAGTGCAGGGACTCCAATGGTGCGATTTTTGTGCAATTAAATGAATAAGCTGCCCTATACATGATGCACAAAAATGCGCATGCACGCAGGCGCACTGTTGCACCCATCGAAATCACCTTCAAGACAAAAACTGCAATAATAAATCGAAATGCACAAACATAAACTTTCCTCTTGAGCAGGACAGAGACACGCAATGACAATGGCATGATCCATCTATTTTTGGCCGACCCCGACGCCTGTGGTAGCAGCAGACGCACCCCATCTAACTGCTATCATGAGACAGATATAAATATAAAAAAAACGTCCGGACCTTGATGCGTTAAAGAACGGTAGTCTTCTGTGCAGTCTTCTTCTGGTGAGCGCCGGCTGTCTTCAATCTCTGGAGCGAGTCAGGTTACAGTGGGACTTGTTTTCCATCTGAAGTGTGGGAGTTAAATGAAAGGAGTGGGAGGGAGAGAGAGAAAAAAAGAGAAGGATCAGCACCAGCGAGCTTCATTAACCTTCTATAAGCAGCACGAAATGCCATGCTGGAAAGAAGTCAAATGGTTGTGAACATTGGTGCGCCCTCATCTTTTGGTCACCCATCAACAGAAGGGATGTCCTAGAATTGGAAAGAGTCCAGTGAAGGGCAATAATGTTAATAAGGAGGGCTGGAGGACCTCAGCTACGAGGAACCATTATTGACCATAGAGAGGAGACATTATCATTATTATTATACAGGATTTATATAGCGCCAACAGTTTGCGCAGCGCTTTACAATACAAGGAAAACATTACAGTTACAATACAATTCAAGATAAGATGGTAAGGAGGGTCCATGATTGCTATTTGCAAATTAATGAATGGCGACTGTAAGGGCGGTAACAACTTAGCACAAGGGGCGAAGGGGGTTCTTCACAGTAAGATCAGTCAGGGTCCGGAACTCACTGCCACAGGCGGTGATTTCAGCAAATAATGTGGAATTGTTCAAGAAACAATGTACAGGGGTACAGGTAACATACAGGGGTACAGGTAATATACAGGGGTACAGGTAACATACAGGGGTACAGGTAATATACAGGGGTACAGGTAACATACAGGGGTACAGGTACTCCTAGAATGAAATCCTAATAGGTTGGACTTGATGGACTAATGTCTTTATTCAACCTCAAATACTATGTAACTATGTAACTTATTTATTCTTAGGTCCCTAAAGAGAGCACAAGGCTACAAGTTAGGGTTCGTTCACACTAGGGATGCACCGATACTGATACTAGTATCGGTATCGGTGCTTAGCATTTGGGCGAGTACGATGCCTAGCCCGATACTTGGGCTTCCGGTATTAGGAAGCCGGGTAGCGAGTCATTACACCCTGCCCGGCTTCCTGATTGGCCGGGAAGCCGGCTCCATGCTTCCTCGTCGAGCATGGAGCCGGGCAGCGTGTAATGGCCGGGCCAATCAGGAAGCCGGGCAGCGTGTAATGACTTGCAGACCGGCTTCCTGATTGGTCGGGAAGCTGGCCAATCAGGAAGCCAGGCGCCATGTAATGACACAGCCCGTCTCTCTGATTGGCCGGGAAGCCAGCTTTATGCTCCCTCATCACCTTGTGATGAGGGAGCATGGAGCCGGCTTCCCGGCCAATCAGGAAGCCGGGCGCCACGTTATTACACGGCGCACGAGATCCTGACTGGTCAGAAAGCCGGCTCCATGCTTTCTCGTCATCTAGTGACAAGAAGCATGGAGACTGCTTCCCTGCTGATCATTACACGCCACCTGGCTTCCTTAATGGGACTTCCGGTATCGGGGAGTACCGAAAACGTCTGAGATTTAGATCCGCAGCACATTATGGCCACTAGATGGAGCCGAAGAGCATAGGATTTTGCTGTGCTCCTCGGCTCCATCTAGTGGCCATAATGTATTGTGAATCTAAAACTCAGATGTTCGCAGAGCTCTTGTGCTTTATCATGCATTATGTGCATTCCGTTGCCATTCATTTGAATGGCACCCAAAGCAACTACCAGCATGCCAGCAGCGCAACACGTGGCACCTCAATACAGTAATGTGCAACTTTTTTCACCGCGCCACACAGGACTGCAGTACCGCACACTGCACTGCGATATACAGCCACCAGGCAGTGCATCGGGATCACATTTAAATGGATGGCAACACAACGCATTTAACACACGGTAAAGTACAAGAGCTCTGCGAACATCAGATTTTTAGATTCAGCACATTGTGGCCACTAGATGGAGCAGAGGAGCACAACAAATTCCTATGCTCTTCGGCTCCATCTAGTGGCCATAACATGCTGAGACTCTAAAACTCAGAGGTTCGCAGAGCTCTTTGCCTTGCGAACATTTTAGAACTCCTGCTTGTAATAGCACTTCCTGTTGCAGGCCGACAACACATTGCAATTAGCAGTAGCGTTGTCAGCCTTCTGTCAGAGCTCCTTCAGTTGGCAATTGGGCTCCATACCTGATAGACCTCTCTGAGCCCCCCTCTGTGTTGAGTTACACCCAGCATCATCCGACCCACATCCTGTCAGCCCAGGCTGTTATGGACATATACCCCAGAAGCGTATTATCACACCGGCCTGGGCTCATAGTACTAGTACTCCTGGACGGTGCATTATTATTCAAGCACCATTATGTGGGGGATGAGCTGGCCACCACTGCTGCCGAAGAAAAGCAGCACAAGGAACCAAACAGTTGTGCTTCTGAGTTCATGTACCAACATGGGACATGCTGATAGGAGGAGAGAGCAGAGCGGCAGAGAGATGAGTTCATCAGTCCGCTGCTTCTATTTTTACTGCCCAATCACAGGATGGGGGCGGGACCAGACCTGTAAGTGTTTCTTGACTGCAGCAGAGAAAAAAAACAGGTAGTATAAAAAACAGGAAGCATAGGTCGTGGTTGGCAATGTCGGCACTCCAGCTAATGTGGAACTGAACTACAAGTCTCATGAGGCATTGCAAGACTCTGACAGCCACAGGCACAACTCCCAGAGGCATGAAGGGATTTGTAGTTTCAGCATAGCTAGAGTGCCAAGGTTGCCTACCCTTAGGATAGAGTAAGTTTATAACCCCTGTCCCTGGTGGTCAGCTGGTTCTCCAGTACTAGTGTCCCATTGGAAGAGTTCCCATCTATTCCTGTTCCTCAACATTTGGGAGTGCTGAGCAGGGGCGTCCTGAGGCCTGGTGTCACCCAGTCTCTAGATCGGGTCTAGATCGCGCCATCTGATTGACGCCTGCCGGCAGCCATCTTAGTAATGAACGCCGGCAGTGAGAGGAGGGGACGTTCACCCAGCAGGATGAGGTATGCCGCCGGGTCCCCTCCTCTCTCCTGACACTGTCGGGCTCTCAGTCCATGACCGAGTGCCCGACTTTTTAGAGGGGGTTTAATCCTCCTGTCCCATCGCACTCCTGACCGGACAAAAACCCAAATCCAACTGGGTGGGTGCGGTAGTGACAACGGATGCCTCCGTGAAATGTAGATAGATGAAAGTAGTCACTCGCACTCCATGATATTAAAGTCAATGCTGTTTATTAGTCAATAAACAGCATTGACTTTAATATCATGGAGTGCGAGTGACTACTTTCATCTTTTTAGAGGGGGTGACACCAAAATGACTGTCAGTCCTTTTGGTGTCACCGCTGCAATGGTGTCACCCGGGTGCGGGCCGCACCCCCCTTGTGACGCCACTGGTGCTGAGGTTGCCTACCCCAGAAAAAGTGTTGGCTTCGGGTCTGCTGTCATAATGAATGTTTAATCAGTGCAGCTGCATGTATTATTCTTCTGCGGACGGTGTAATCTGTATTTCATATGTATTACACGGTAGAGAAAGGTATCAGAGCCAAAGAAAGGTGACATACGGGCTATACTGCATGTGAACTGGCTGCCAAGTGAGAGAACGTTGAGATCTCTGATGATGGAACGTGAAAATCTCTGATGATGGAACGCTGAGATCTCTGATGGAGGGACGTGAAGATCTCTGATGATGGAACGCTGAGATCTCTGATGGAGGGACGTGAAGATCTCTGATGATGGAACGCTGAGATCTCTGATGGAGGGACGTGAAGATCTCTGATGATGGAACGCTGAGATCTCTGATGGAGGGACGTGAAGATCTCTGATGAAGGGACGTGAAGATCTCCGATGGAGGGACGTGAAGATCTCCGATGGAGGGACGTGAAGATCTCCGATGGAGGGACGTGAAGATCTCCGATGGAGGGACGTGAAGATCTCCGATGGAGGAACGTGAAGATCTCTGATGGAGGGACCTGAAGATCTCTGATGAAGGAACGTGAAGATCTCTGATGGAGGAACGTGAAGACCTCTGATGGAGGGACCTGAAGATCTCTGATGGAGGAACGTGAAGACCTCTGATGGAGGGACCTGAAGATCTCTGATGGAGGAACGTGAAGACCTCTGATGGAGGGACCTGAAGATCTCTGATGGAGGAATGTTGGGATCTCTAATGATGGAACATTGCTGATATCTGATAATGGAATGTTGAGATCTCTGATGATGGAACCCTGCTGATCTCTGATGATGTAACGTTGCTGATCTCTGATGATGGAACCCTGCTGATCTCTGATGATAGAATGTTGAGGTCCCTAACGATGGAACGTTGCTGATCGCTGATGACGGATCGGTTGCGTTCTCTGCTGTTTCCTCTTACCTCTTCCTCTCATTCATTCCCCGGTCTGTTCCTGCATAGATCCCCTCTGACATTACTTCCGCCTGTGTTGGTGTCAGTGGAGTCAGTGTGACGCCTTTCCTCCTCATACGGAGCATGCTCACCCTCTGATCTCCGCTCCCAGAACGTGAAGATCTCTGATGGAGGAACGTGAAGACCTCTGATGGAGGGACCTGAAGATCTCTGATGGAGGAACGTGAAGACCTCTGATGGAGGGACCTGAAGATCTCTGATGGAGGAATGTTGGGATCTCTAATGATGGAACATTGCTGATATCTGATAATGGAATGTTGAGATCTCTGATGATGGAACCCTGCTGATCTCTGATGATGTAACGTTGCTGATCTCTGATGATGGAACCCTGCTGATCTCTGATGATAGAATGTTGAGGTCCCTAACGATGGAACGTTGCTGATCGCTGATGACGGATCGGTTGCGTTCTCTGCTGTTTCCTCTTACCTCTTCCTCTCATTCATTCCCCGGTCTGTTCCTGCATAGATCCCCTCTGACATTACTTCCGCCTGTGTTGGTGTCAGTGGAGTCAGTGTGACGCCTTTCCTCCTCATACGGAGCATGCTCACCCTCTGATCTCCGCTCCCCCCGTGCTGTGGGTTTGTGTTCAGCGCTGACACGCAGGCAGAGGCTCCACCAATCGGCTGATTCCGGGTTCCTCCAGCAGGGGGCGCAGCTGTCTATAGTACTGCACGATGCCAATGCTGCGGAGCTGTACCAATTCTGGGCACATGTATGGAGGGCAGCAGCCATGGCACTCTATGCAGCTCAGGTTTTATGTCACAACATTTCTTAAAGCTGGACTCTGAGCAAAAATAACTGAACACACCAATGAAATGCATAGATGAGAGCTGTGCCACCTGCCAAATAATGTGTATTGCTGCCCATCCAGTTCTGAGATTTTCACAGCTCTGCCACCCAGCACAGCAATGCCTAGCTCTGTGATTGCACACTGAAATCAGAAACAGCAGACTAATGAGCTGATCTCTCTGTCCCTCTGTTGTCTCCTCCTATCAGCATGCTCCTTGCACACCTGATTGGCTCCTCGTCCTTCTTCGCTCTGCCCCATTATGAGTTCTGCTGTACAGGAGGCTGCAAGATTCTGATAGGAAGGCACTAGGACAGGAAGTAAAGACAATTCTCCAATGTGACTGAACATAAGAAGCTGTCAGTGGTTCTTTATCTTCTGCACTCTGTCCAAAATCAAACATAAAAAGCTGGTTATTTTTTTTTTATGTATTAGAAATGACGGGCTTTGTCCTCCCCCTGATCTGTGACAGGTCCGCTTTAGTTCATTATATATAAGGAATAGAAGTGACAGTAGCAGGGAATAGGAATTACATGCAGACTGCAGTTCCGCTCATGGCTAGCAAGTGGCGGCAGACTGGAGCCCGTGGCGTGGGCGGGGCCGGGAACTGTAGTCAGGGAGGGGCGCAGAGCATGCTGGGAGAGGTAGTTTGCTGGGGAAGGCGGAAGTGCAGTGGCAGTGCTAGATTATAGTCATGGGTCGGTGATCGGTTGGGGATTTGTCCGGGACCAGAACAGCGGTGAGTATCGGGTCCGTGCCTGTGATCTGTAGACGGGACAGCCCCGGGGGTGGCAGATCTGCTCCTCAGTGCTCAGCTCAGGTCTCTTCCTGCAGGTTAGATGGAGGTTATCATTGGAAATCCTATAACTTGCTGCTTTCCATAGGGATACATTGGAAGGGTTAAGTGTTGCAATGCCATGAAGATATTAGAATTGGGTGTTTGGTGATCTGTGGCAGGTTGGAGGTGTCAGAGGGCGGTCGGACGACCAGTTTGGTTCCAGAAACGCGCCTGCTCATGGTGGCGGAGCGTACATATTTACGGCAGGGCCGGTCCACCATTGGCTCATAAGTAATAACTATCACCCCCAACAGAGATGGACTGAATTTGAATTGAATTTGCTCAAATTGTGTTTTTTCCCCTTTTGTTGAAGTTCCTGACCAGTCATGTCAGTCCCATAGGCGAGAGATGGCGGCCATTGGATTGGGTGGTAACCCGGTGCCTGTGGGGTCACCACAGCCCCGAATGAGCCGGCCTTTCCTCAAGAAGTCTTCAATGACTGGAAGTGATCATTATGGTCTGTAAATTGCCTCATCCTCCATGGGATTTATTGGGTTTGTGCTGGTTATACCGAGTCTGGGAACAGTAAAACCAGAACAATTCGAGGGGAAGGTCCCTGACACTCAGTATCCCAACAAGGATCAGACAGATGATCCCAGCACAGGAGAGGGGGTGTGCAAACCAGGGGGTTACAGCAAATGTTAGTGTTGGGGTTACAGGCAAGGTTAGGCGTTGGGGTCACAGGAAGGATTAGTGTTGGGGTTACAGGGAGGGTTGGGGTTACACATAGAATTACTGCGGGGTTATGGGGGCTTAGTGCTGGCGTTACAGGCAAGTTCAGTGTTGGGGGTTACAGGAAGGGGTGGCTGTTGGGGGGGTGCAGGAAGGTTAAAGGAAGGGGTGGCTGTCGGGGGTTAAAGGAAGGGGTGGCTGTCGGGGGTTAAAGGAAGGGGTGGCTGTCGGGGGTTAAAGGAAGGGGTGGCTGTCGGGGGTTACAGGAAGGGGTGGCTGTCGGGGGTTACAGGAAGGGGTGGCTGTCGGGGGTTACAGGAAGTGTAGGGCATCACTCTCTGTGACAAAAGCTTAGACATTGGAAACTTCTGTATCCATATTAAATACTGTGACAACTCCATGTTTACTTTTAGGGGTCAAATAACTGCTGAAGAGGCCAGCACAAAGCCATCTTCAGGTTGGATTACATTTGCCTGTAGATATCCCAAGTTTTGCATACAGCGTGGCGGAGTATTCATGGATGGCTGCGATAATCCGGCAGTGTAGGTAGACGCTGGGAGATCAATGTCTGTGTCACAGGAGATGCCATTCCCTCCTACACACACTAGTTGTTGGAGACGATGTACGATTCTGCTGCATTGTCTTCATGTTTTAGAACGTTCATGGCCAGGGGACGGCCAGCTTGGGTTGTCAGTCTGAACCATGGGAGGTCCTAGCTGTACCAAGTCAGGTATCTAGTGACGCTTCGTCTATGTTTACACGTCTTCCGGTGATACATTTGTAACAAAGGTTCTTTTGAATTCTAATGAAGGGTTAATGGAATTCGTCTTCCACAGCCGGATTGGTGATTAGGGTGTTTGTCTTGTTGTGTCAATATCAGGTCACAAGAATTGAAAGCATTTAGGTGCAGCTCATTGAATATCTGTAAAGTCAGTCACACCCATTGTTACGTGGTGGACAAATCCGTGTTTGCTTGATAAACTCGTTTTTTTTTTTTCCACAAGATGTGCGGACTGTAATGGAGACACTTCAGATTCATGACCCTATAATGACTTGGCTGCCACCTCACTAGGTGAAAGGAGATCTCCAGTCTTGGTAAAGTTTGTAGATCTACGTGCGTGTGTTTGGTGGAAAGACCTTGTAAAAGGTGACCATTGACATCAAAGGAAGGGTCTACCTCCTAAACGTGTGTGCTTGGATCACCTGAGACGGGAGGGAGAAGCCAAGGAGTATCACCAGCACTACTTTCCTCAGGGTCAGAGGGCTCCAAAGGTTGAGAGCTCCACAAGTTGATGATAAGTCCAGTATAGATTTAATAATCCTAGGGCTATGACGTGAAAGGTAGGAAGGGGGCTGTGCTATGGAACTGACTCTTCCTTGACTCTTCATTTTTTAGTAAAATTAGAGGCAAATTGCAGGTAGGTGAAGAAAATTGTTAGTGGAAAAAATTGCTAGAAAGCATTTAACATTCTCTAATATTCTTTGCTATTATCTGTTTTTTTTTTAAGTTGGTGTTCAGGTCTCTGTGGGATGTTTGCTGCTGCCCATAGATGTGTGATTTTCTCATCTGATAGGAATGCTGCTTGTCAACCTGAAGTTTTTCTGTAAGCTTATACAGGTCAAGGTTCCCCTATACTGGTCAAGGTTCCCCTATACTGGTCAAGGTTCCCAAGTTTATTTATACAGGACAAGGTCCCCTATGCATGGCAAGGCCCCCTATACAAGATGATATTCCCGTAAAATGATGTCTAGCCAAGAATTCCATGTTTTATTTACACTTTTCAGATAGAGATTTGAAGATGCATCTCCAAGTGGTTACCTGTATAATTGGGAAGGTGATTAGCATCCCAACGCTGAACTTCAGGCAGATATAATGCTAATCAATACAGCTCTATGTTCATGAATACATCATTAAAGCTATTTATTTAAATGCAACTAGGGAAGTACCTGAAATTTACCTGGTATCGTCCTCTCGCAATCCCCTGTACAGTAGACCTCAGACTAGGGGAGGGAGGGGCAGGACTGATAGGCAATAAAGTGTGCTGCATGCAAATGTGCTGGCAAGGAATATTTCCAATCTGTATGTGATGTATAACAACTAAAGCATGGACTATCAAGCACATAAAAAATTAAGTTTGTATGAAGGTTGCAGTAGCGTGTTTGATCCCTGGAATGTAATATTGATTTTATCTGAGGCTCCCTTTGACCACTAGAGGGCGCACACGCAGTTCCGTAGATGAAGTATAATCATGAAAATACTCCGTCCTTCCTATAAATGCATTTGAGAGTTGCCCTTTAAAAAATGAGTAATGTAATTGTTGAATTGTGTGACAACACTAACGCTAATCCTGTTGGTCTTTGTTAAACAGGGTCTGGTTGACCACACCGATGCCCTATGAATCCCTACACACTACTGGAATGTAAAGAATCTATGAGCCCCTTGCGCATCAGTGTGGGTGGCCTTCCTGTTCTGGCCTCCATGACAAAGACTGCAGACCCCCGATTCCGGCCACGCTGGCGTGCCATCTTGCTCTTTGGGGTGGTCCTGGTGCTGCTCCTATTGCTGCTATGCTTCCACCGGTCTTCATATGCCCGCACTGCAGTTCCCAACGCCCACAACTGGTTGGTCCAGCCTCTTGCGGGAGATCTGTATAATGACACCTACCCGCTTACCCCTCCCCATAGGACGCTAGACGGACTGCGCTACCAAATCGCCATCATCGCCGACCTGGACACTGAGTCTCGCAGCACCAAAGACCACACCTGGTTCAGCTACCTGAAGAAAGGCCACTTGACCCTGTTCAATAGCGGAGACCGGGTTGTGGTGGAATGGGACAAGGAGGACACTGTTCTAGAGACTCACTTGGCGGAGAAGGGACGTGGGATGGAGCTCTCCGAGTTAATAGTCTTCAATGGAAAGTTGTATTCTGTGGACGATCGCACCGGGGTGGTCTACCGGCTGGAAGGCAGCAAGGCCGTGCCATGGGTTATACTCACCGATGGTGATGGCACAGTGGATAAAGGTGAGTCCCTTAAAGATAACCTGTTTTGAGACCGCATGCCAAGATTAGGGTGCCCATTTTAAAAATGTTGGGATTTCTTATCTTCCCAAGACAGTTCTCCTTCTGTTGGCAAGTGCAGTAAAAACATTGGTGGTGTCAGGCAGGAGCAGAGTGGAAACGTTGGTCAACTTAAACCAAACCTTGCCTATTAGTACTTGAAAAATGTTTATTTTCCTTACCCCTGCCTTCCACAAGTGTGACTTCGTTACCAGTGTGATTCCTGGGGGGCCAATAAGTAACCCAGATCTTGTGAGAACACACTCCATTATAGTGCCAAGGCATCTTCTCCTGGGGGGGCCAATAAGTAACCCAGATCTTGTGAGAACACACTCCATTATACTGCCAAGGCATCTTCTCCTGGGGAGGGCCAATAAGTAACCCAGATCTCTTGAGAAGACATTTCAGTATACTGCCAAGGCATCTTCTCCTGGAGGGCCGATAAGTAACCAAGATCTCTTGGGAACACACTCCATTATACTGCCAAGGCATCTTCTCCTGGAGGGCCGATAAGTAACCAAGATCTTGTGAGAAGACACTCCATTATACTGCCAAGGCATCTTCTTCTGGGGGGCCAATAAGTAACCCAGATCTTGTGAGAAGACACTCCATTATACTGCCAGGGCATCTTCTCCTGGAGGGCCAATAAGTAACCCAGATCTTGTGAGAAGACAGTCCAGTATACTGCCAGGGCATCTTCTCCTGGAGGGCCAATAAGTAACCCAGATCTCTTGAGAAGACAGTCCAGTATACTGCCAGGGCATCTTCTTGCAAGATTTGGACTGCTCTTCATTCCCCGGCATCTTGCCCTCAGGACCATGACAGCATCTCCCTAGGCAAGGATAGGTTAAGGTATCTATTTCCTTATAGGATCTTTTTTTCAAGTACCATTAGGCAGCAATTTGTAAAAGGGAAGGGGGCCCAGTCTTAATAAGCGGACATTGCATCTGCTTAAGGGCTTGTTCACACCATGTCCATTAAGCTGCGTTTTCTGTACACACCTGCACATGTATGCTGCGAATAGGGCACATAGAAAATAATTGCTTTCTATGCCCCCTGTTCACACCATACATGTTCGGTGGTGTGCAGAAAAATGCACTTCCAACGGACATGGTGTGCTTTGCAAAGAAGTAGGCTTTGTCATGACATGGAGCTTGCCCAAAGCTGAGGATTCTCTACCTGCCCCTTTGTGGGAGTCTGAGCAGCAGTCACCAAGCACCCGGTGCTGCAACATGAAAGGAAAGGCAGGGGATCGCATGGTCCCCCATAGCCGGAAGTAGCACGTTTCCCTGCAGCTGAATGGAGCAGCGGAGGAGAGAAGGAAAGGTCAATGTATGTCATGGGAGGGCGTTTCAATGAACCTGCTACTTTCCCCTTAATTAGTAAAGCTCAGGTTCGGCTAGGGGTGGCGTGGTGTGTGGAAAAAAAACTCTTCAACAGCAGTATGCAGTGGGAGGGACAAGACCTGTCATTTTTTTTTTTTTTTTAACTGCAGCTGAGAAAATCAGGTCTGCTGCCTGCTAGATAGGGCAGAGCTGTGCAAACCGAAGGTCTGAATGGACAGAAGTGTAGAACCGCTCCCTTATATGTATTTAATCTGTGCATTTAGCAGTGTGTCTGGGGTTCAGCTTTAGGTGTCGTTGGACTTTGTGCGTATAATTATGTGGCTTTCTTTCTCCAGGTTTTAAAGCGGAGTGGTTGGCAGTAAAGGATGAACTTCTGTATGTCGGCGGGCTGGGGAAGGAGTGGACCACAACGACGGGGAAGGTGCTAAATGAAAACCCTGAGTGGGTTAAAGTGGTTGGACCCCGTGGGGATGTTCAGCACCATAGCTGGGTATTAAATTGAGCTTCAGTCTTGGGTGGATATGACAGCCATAAAAAAAGGAATTGAGTCTGAATATGTAACCATATGGCTTAGAGTGCCTCAGCTAAGTCCTATTTCTAAGTCCTGTCCTATTTCTTTCTTGGGGAGACACTGGAGTGTCTTGCTGGGCACCAGTTCCTCAGCACGGGACTTGTTTCTCCTATTACATTCTTTATGCAGTACAGTGATTGCATGAGAGGAAGGTCGGCCCTTTACTGGCAGCCTCAGAAGGAAGAACACCAATGTCACTTTGTTACTCCAGCCCTCATTCCCATGTAAATTCCCTAACGTTAGCGTTAAGCCCACCCACTCTCTTCTCCCCAGACCAATGAGGCCTCAATGGTGCTTACCTCCAGCAGGCATTACGTAGCCCTAAAGGTGGGACATTCCAGCCCTTAAAGAAGTATTATCACCACTTTAAAATCCTTGTTGAATCCTCCATAGGACCAGGTCCATGTAGCACTTGGTCCTGTACTGATCCATGCTGTGCATATATACCGTAGTATGAGAACTTGGCTGCTGAAGTGTTCTCAAATTTGTGATGAGAGGAGGTGGGCATAGCTCTACAGTCGGGGAAGGTGAGGTATCCATGTGTTCATCCTTTTATTGGGAGCTCCCTGGGTGTATGATACAGGTAGCTGCAGACATGTTGTGGTCTTAAGGACATGTTTGCTTAGAGAGAAAGGGGTGTGTGTCCCTCCTCTGGGTCCTTCAGCTGTTTACTTAATAGCAGCTTACTGTTCACATTATATTGAGTAACTGACTTGGGAAGACATGGTAGAGAGCTGCATATGGCAAAAATGAAATATTCAATGTTTCATAGCTGCACTCTAACCTCCTGCAGTCTTCGGGTTGGTCTGATGACATTACCGTTTTTTCCTTAATGGTGGGTTGCCCTTCCTCCTTGACTGACATGACCTGCAAGCCCTGCTCATTCCAGAAGTACTGTAAACTCATGATAATTACATTCCCCCATGGCCAGGTCCATGACAGCCTAGGTTCACAGAAAGTGGATTAAAGGAGAACTATGAGATGAGTGATGTCCACTCACCTCATAGTTCTAAGCCGACCTGTGACAATGAGACTGTCACAGGTCGGCTCAGTAGATCGGGAGGTGAGGGAACACATACCGGGTTCCCTCACCTCTCGATCCTGTCACGGCTCTCTGCTGTGACAGGGGAGGGGCTGGATTCCCCTCTCCCCGCTCCGATCTGCCAGAGCTGACTGGCGGAACGGACGGGGGAGGGGGCGGGTACAGCTGGCTCTGCCTCTAGATAGGCAGAGCCAGCTGTCACTCACGCAGCTGGGCGGATCCCGTCATCTACGTCGGGATCCGCTCCAGGTGCGGCATCTCAGTATATAGAGAGCTGTAGCTCGCGGTATACTGAGCTTAGGGTAACGGGAGGACGCTAGTTTGTGGCCTCCCGTTACCCCAAGGAGAACTATGGGGAAAAACACTCTCCTTTAAATAATGCTGGCTGTCATTGAAACCAGAAGACCGGTGACATCTAGTGGCAGAGAAGTAGCACTACAGGTGACTGCCTCGGATTCGTGAGTATTGCAGCTTTTTTATGGTCCTGAATAGGGATGCACCGATACCGGTATTTTTTTCCCCAGTACTTACCGATACCGGAAGTCCCACTAAGGAAGCCAGGCGTCGTGTAATGACACGCCACCCGGCTTCCCGATTAGCAGGGAAGCCGCCCCCATGCTTCTCATCGCTTGGTGACGAGAAAGCCAATCGGGAAGCCGGGCGGCGTGTGATGACACAGTGCCCGGCTTCCTGATTGGCCGGAAAGCCGGCTCCATGCTCCCTGGTCATGAGGTGACAACAGAGCATGAAGCCGGCTTCCCGGCCAATCAGAAAGCCGGGCGCCGTGTCATTACACGCGCGTCTGGCTTCCTGATTGGCCAGCTTCGCGACCAAGTACGAAGCTGGGCAGCGAGTCATTACACGCTTCCCGATTGGCCGGGAAGACGGCTCCATGCTCCCTCGTATACCGGAAGTATCAGGCTAGGCATCTGAGCATTTGGGCGAGTACCGGTACTGGCCCAAATACTCGGCACTGATATCGATACAAGTATCAGTATCGGTGCATCCCTAGTCCTGAACATGAGAAAATATATACAACCATTTTGTGTCCTTCTAAAGTAAACGGTTTACGTTATGCATTTGCTCAAAAGTGTGAACTATGTTCTTTTCCCCCCCCTGCAGGTTACTTGATCCATGAGTCCGCTGCGTGGAGCGACTCTCTGCACAGCTGGTTCTTCCTGCCCCGTCGGGCCAGCAAAGAACGGTACAGCGAGAAGGAAGACGAGCAGCGCGGAGCCAACATCCTGCTACGGTCCTCGGCCGACTTCTCGGACATTTCCCTTTCCCACGTGGGCACCCAGATCCCCACCCACGGCTTCTCCTCCTTTAAGTTTATCCCGGGCACAGATGACCAGATCATCGTGGCGCTCAAGTCGGAGGAAAATAACGGCCAGGCGGCCACCTACATCACCGTCTTCATCCTGGATGGCCGAGTCCTCCTTCCAGAGACGAAGATTGGGGACGTTAAATATGAAGGAATCGAGTTTATCTGATAAGGGCACACTCCAGCCAAACTTGAAAAGCTAGCATGGACTGACGGACAGAAAACACAGCCAACTTTCCCAGGGTTATTCTTTTTGTTTTTTGGTTTTTTTTTTTTTTTTTTTAACCATGCCCATGCTTGATTACACTAGACCACCCCTCTGGGTAAAACTGTGTGGTTCCTGGTGTTCTGGGAACACCATGTTGAACTATGATTCTGAAAGCCGCGGCGCGTTTCTCAACTCCACCCATCGCGATCTCTATGAAGTCTTAGTTATGCCCATCAGCAACCATTCAGAAATTTAGAGAGGAAGAGTGCAAAAAACTGGCAAGAGGCTACAGGCCTAGGAAAGGTAAACTATGCCATAGGCAAAGCAACAGGTACACTTGACTGGTGCCCTCCCCAGCTGCACATTGACGCCTTCCCATTGCCACCCCATCGATGTGTGCAGCCAACAGGCGTGAAAAGATATGCCTGAGGCGGGTCTCCTTAATGGTGCAGTCACATGGGGGCGAGAAGGGTGTCCTCAGGGGTGCGTCCCATGGGGGCGAGGAGGGGCTCCTCAGGGGTGTGTCCCAGGGGGCCGAAGAGGGGGTCCTCTGTGCTTCCGTCACAGGAAGATACATATGTGCAGCTGGGTAGAGAGGCAGTTCGATAAACCTGTTGTGCCCTCCATAGGCAAAGCACAAGTTCACTTTAAGACCCTTCTAAAAGCTCTGTTCAGTCTGACACAGGACAATTCTACACAACCATACTAAAGCAGAACTCCAGGCAAAGACATTTTACCTGCCATAGGATTTGTAATTCTGCTCAGCCAGCCTTGTGGATCATACAATTGTCACACTCCTAAACCCCGCTATTACCTCTTGCATCTTCCAGCTCAATGGACTTTGAATGAGCGTCATCACACAGCAGACTCCAGGCTGGGGACATAGGAAACTGCACTGTGGAAGGGTGCATGAATCACAAGACTGACCGAACAAAACTAGAAATCATTTTGCAGATAAAGCACGTCCGATAAATATGTCCTCTCTCTCAGCCGGGTGGGATGAAAGAGTAATTGGCAGAGGGATAAAAAAAAAGGGAAAAGGGGGAGAGTGTCTGATCATTGGCATTGAACAAATGTTTGTAAAAACAAAATTTTAAGTAAAAAAAAAAATATGAAAATATATTAATCCAAAAAAACGGAATCTGATCTCTCGTGTCCATTAAATATAAAAGACAAGATTGTGTCACCTTGTGTACCAAATACATCCGGCCTACAAATCGCGTGCGCCTGAGAAGCCGCAAAAAACTACAATAGCAAATGTGACCGTTTAAAAGCCAAAGTGTGTGTGATGGTGTGTGTGAAGGCGTGATGGTGTGTGTGAAGGCGTGATGGTGTGTGTGAAGGCGTGATGGCGTTTACCTACGCAAGTGCGTCCTAACTGTACTTGTAGGAACGTGTGTGAAACGGGGAGAGGTTGGGAATAATTTTGCCCCTTGTTTGTGGCGGAGAGGGGGAGTTGAATAGAAAATATTTTTTACTTGCATTACTGTCATAAGGGGGGCTGACAAGCTGCCCCCCCCCCCCCTTTCCCTCGTGTAATAGGAAAAAGACAGTGACGGGTGCCCTTTTATGGACACTCTGGGGGTCTGTTCTGCTATGTTAGATCTGTTACTGCAGACACTGCAGATTGGGGGTAGAGCGTCCTCGAGCTACAGCTTACCTGGCTTCTTCCACTAGGATAATCCTGGCCAGAACACTATCTGCATGGAGTCTGTATGTTCTACATATGCTTATGTGGGCTTCCTCCTGGGTATTCTGACTTCCTCCTTGTTTCCTCCAGTTACTCTGGATTCTTCCCAGTAATCCGGTTTTTATCTGGGTACTCTGGTTTCTTCCCGCTACTCTGGTTTCCTCTTGGTTTCTTCCTGGTATTCTGGTTCCCTCCGGGTACTCTGTTTTTGTCTGGGATTCTTCCGGGTACTCTGGGTTTCCTCTTGGTTTCTTCCTGGTATTCTGGTTCCCTCCGGGTACTCTGTTTTTGTCTGGGATTCTTCCGGGTACTCTGGGTTTCCTCTTGGTTTCTTCCTGGTATTCTGGTTCCCTCCGGGTACTCTGTTTTTGTCTGGGATTCTTCCGGGTACTCTGGGTTTCCTCTTGGTTTCTTCCTGGTATTCTGGTTTTGTCTTGGTTTTCTCCGGGTACTCTGGGATTCTTCCTGGTACTCTGGTTTCCTCTGGGAACTCTGGTTTTGTGTTGGTTTCTCCCCGGTACTCTGGTTTTGTCTGGGTTTCTTCTGGGTACTCTGGGATTCTTCCCGGTACTCCTGGTTTCCACCTGGTACTCTGATTTTGTCTTGGTTTCCTCCAGGTTTCTTCCTGGTACTCTGATTTCCTCTGGGTTTCATCTCGGTACTCTGGTTTTCTCTTGGTTTCTTCCTAGTACTCTGTCTCCGGGTACTTTGGTGTCCTCCCGGTACTCTGGTTTCCTCTTGGTTTCTTCCCAGTACTCTGGTTTCCTCCCAAGCTCCAAAGACATACTGGTAGGTCAACTGACTCTTCTCTAAGTTGGCCCTCGTATATGTGTGTGTATATGTGAGATGGGTACCTTTTTTAGATTGTAAGCTCCTTGACAGCAGGCCTTGATATGAATGAATAGTATGTGAATTTGGCTCTATATAAATAATACTGCTCCTGTGACCCCCCCCCCTAAAGGGCTCACAGCTGAGCACTTCCAAGTGCATTCAGCTCAGGGGAGATCAGTGAATGGTATTTCGCACCTCTCTTACCCCTCTCCATCCTGAATCTTCCCTTGGTCCCGGGCCCATTTGAGCACAGGCCCCAAGAGGTGGGAATGGGCTTTGCAGAGCTAATATGCCAGGGAGCTGTCAACAACAGCAGGGCAGAGTGCCTGGCATGAAGAGCCCTCGAGAGGACACCGCACATATGACTTTCAACTGTTCATTTCCCAGTTTTGCTGCAATTCTGCTTTACTGATGGAGTGGACCTTCTATGGTTTGCACTGTTTCCTGGGCAGAATCTGATTGTACTGGTGGGCCGGCATAATCCTGACACAAGGCTCAGCATGTGCTGGAATGTGAGTGTAGGTTACCTCCAGTGAAGAGATAAAGGCAGCTGACATTTAAAAGGTTGGGCTTGGCTCCGCCCCTTTCCACGCCCCATAACTCACACGGACTCTTAAATAAATGTGTCAAATAAAGTGCTCCCTGCACATAAAGCATGAAATGCCCACACCGCCGATTTTCTTCTATATAATGCAAAGCAACTGCTGGCCGAAGAACCTTCAGAATCCGACACTTCCAGGAGTGTCGATTTCCAGGTCCCCCTGCTGCGGTCGTTGGTTCGATCCGTGAAAATGTTGTCACAACTGCGTCCTATAGTAATGTAGAGGCAGGCAGGAGGAACCACTGAGAGCAGAGGGGAGAACTAGGATATGGTTACACCTGGACGTGGCAGGCTCAGCAGAGATGGCTTTGCATTGGGAGAGGTTTTAATGTCTTTTTAACTTTTTTTGCATGGAAAACTTTAGGGCAGGTGTAGGCAAGCCCTGGCCCTCCAGCTGTGGTGTGACTACACAACCAGAGGCATGATGGGATTTGTATTTAACCACAGCTGGGGAAACAAAACAAAAATCATAGCTACTTGTCCACCAAAACTGTATTAGCATTCCTTCTATACAACTGTTGTGATAATGGGGCAAAAAAATGAATGTTCTCAGTGTAATTTCTCTTCTGGTCAAATGTTCAATGGGGCAAAAAATTCACATTATGGCCACTAGATGGAGCTGAGGAACACAGGAAATGAATAGATGTTAGTAAGGGGATACAATTCAAGAGGACACTAAAGAGAATGAGCATATAAATGTAACCATTGCTCTCCCCGTAGTGTCAATGGTTACATTTATACGCTGATTCCCTCCAGCGTTCTCTTGATTTGTCCCATTGTATCCTATTACTAACATGTATTTAGTTCCTGTGATCCTCGGCTCCATCTAGTGGCCATGTTGTGGTATTTATAGTCACACTGTTCTTCGGGAAGGATCCTATTGAAGAATGTCGACAAGGAGGGAAAGTAAACTAAGAACATTCGATATTTGCCCCATTCTCACAACCGCTGAGTAACTCGCACAGAGCGAATGTACCCGCGGTCCTCTTGGAGGAGGAATGGGTTGTGCAATTTTTTTTACAAACAGACTTTGTGTATGTCTGGACCACATCTCAATCCTGTCAATTACATCTCTGCAATAGATGCAAATGTCCCATGTCTTGTCCCTTTAAAACCCAACCCTGCGAATGCATAAAAATACCCGCTGGTCTGCCAGAAATCCAGTGAGCTTCTAACTCTGTGTACTGTGCTGCTGTGTTTCAGTTCTCCCAGTGCATGGGCAACTCTGGCCCTCCAGCTGTTGTGGAACTACATGTCCCATGAGACATTGAAAGACTGACAGTTACAGGCATGACTCGCAGAGGCATGTCGGGCTTCGTAGTTAAAGCACAGCTGGAGGGTTGGAGATTTCCACCCCTGGCCTAGGGTGACACCGCTGCTCCTCCATAGACACAGTGCACTTTGTGTTGTCACCCTGGAACAGGAAGTGTGTTGTTGGCAGGATCACCAGTTGAGGAAAAAAAGAAACCAAAGCTTGAAAAAAGAAACAATGCAGCCGCCACATCTAAGGATTGGTAAGCTGCAATGTATGACATGTTTATTCTGTGGTTTAGATCCACTTTAAACGACGGAGTCTCTTTAACATGATGATGTCCAATAGAGAGGTGCAGTGGGTGGAGCCAGACCTGAGGTTGATGTCAGACGATTTATGGCTATTATATGCTTGGGATGGGTCAGGATTGTGACAGGTTAGCTTTAATTTCCATTGAACAGAACTGACAGGAGCCCGCTCACTGGGTTGGATGTTGATTGGTCCACGTTTCATTTCACCACAAAGCTCCGCCTGTAACAGCTTGGACCTATGCAGCAAAGATGCAATCTGTTTCACGCCCTTAAATTGTTCTGGAATGTCCCCCCCAAAAAAGATCAAAGTGTGATGTGAATGATTACATGATCTTTTATTAAACATATTTTTAATACATATTGCATCGGTTCTTTTAATT